GGGGCAGTTGCAGCTCAGTGTTATGAGTTTAGGGAAGTGCTTCGTATCTGGAATCATCAGGCTGCTGGCAAGGAAGCTCTTAATTGAATCCTCCCTGGGAAGCAGACAGTCTGTACCCAGAAAGGGGTTCCTGTTCCCATTAGGTGTTGAAAGTTCCTCCTGTTGGCAGAACCTGCAGCGGGCATTGGCTGAAGAAGTCAGGACCAGTCAGATGCCTGTGCTTGGGTGTAAAATCAGCGAAGGGAGTTGGACAGAAGTCCCTGTGTTAAGGACAACTCCCTTTCTGAGTTAAAAGGTGTAACTGGAGGAGGATGCTTTCAGACCCCTTGAAGTGCAGCAGATGGATAGAACTGGGGTGTCTCTGCTTTTCTAGCACCTAAATATTATTTTCCCCTCCTCCAAATTCACTACGCCCTTGAAAAATGAGTACTGTTCATCTCTGCCATGAGAAAAGTGATCAGCACATGAGCTGAATCATGTCAGTAACCTATCCCAAAAAGAGGGGCCTTCCCGAGATGGCCAGTGACTGTTCTGGCCTCTCTGCTAGCCATCCTGAGGCACCTTTAGTTGAAACCCCAAAAGGTAAGGCCTGGGGAACCCTCGGTGTTCCTGCCATGTGCACCTCTGATAAAAAGGAGCGAGATGACTCTTTCCTTCCTACATGAGTTCTGTCTGCACCTTTCAGGGCAGGCTCTGAAATGTCTCCTTCAAGATGTTCCTCACATCTTCTGAGCAAGGGCTGTTGCCCTTGCTTCATCCCTTCCTTCCCTGGCAGCTGCCTTGTATTTCAAAGTCCTTCATCGGCTCGGGGATGAATGGGGGCTGTGATTTCTGTTCAACAGGAGCCCTTTTGTGAGTCTCTGGAGCTGGATTTGGAGCGCTTTGTTCTGGCTGGACCCAAGTGTTCCAGCACGTGGCATAAACTTTCACCAGCCGCCTCTCTGCCTTCAGTAAAAATGTCAGTAAAGGTTAAGCTGGGGCATGGAAGAAATGATTTCCAAGGAAGGAAAAGAGGTTGAGAAGAAAGGCTGTTGAATTTGCAAAAGTTGTTCCCTCCCCATCAGGTTAATGTGACTGTCCCATCAATGCTGTCTCCCTCTTACCAGGTCGGTAGCTTTTTCTTATTAATACCAGTCTGTCCTATGAATGAGTGCAGCACGTCTGATCTCTTCTAAGGTTTCTCTCCAGCATTACAGCTTCATAACTTCATGCAAAGTAACTGAACATAGTCTGGTCTTGAGATCTGATCAGGTGCTGCTGTTGGCGTTCCCAGCCAGCATTAGGAATGATGCTGGTGACACCGCCTGCAGGGGATGTGCCTCCCCCTTGGCAACTTCAGTTGCAGAACTTCTTGTTTATGTGCCCGTGCAAGATAATCAACAACTACTTCATTGTCCTGGAATCCTTAACTCATAGGATCCAGAATGAAATAAGCCCTTGCACCACTTGATCCCAGCGAGAAGCAAGGTCTGCTGCGCGCTGCCCTGGCAGTTAACCTCTGTTCAGGCTTTTGCCGTTCCTGACTCAGCTGCCAACTGAGCAAGCTGCTTTTAGCATTTCTGTGGAGTAAACAAATGCCTGCGAGAGGGACTAGCTTATGCTCATCAAACACAGAGTGCATGAGACGCCAGGACCTAAAGCGGCTTGCAAAGACAAGTGACTAATTCAGTCCTTTCCTGCCTCATTTCTGGTGTGAGGACAGACCGCCAAACCAGACGGGTGTTAGTGTTTGAAAATGACCTGGTCAAGCCTAGTGCTGGAAAGGATGCTCGAGGGGAAGGAGTTGATCTCACTGTTGTTACTAATAGGCTGCTTTTAGTTAAAGATAAGTAAAATGCGTAAAATGCATTAGTGAATTTTGCCCTCACTGAGATGAGGATTCCTTTGCCTTGGCTTCTGAGAGCTGCTGTCTTGCAAAGCAAGTAATTTCCTCTTCACATCCAAACATCCTCCTTGCATTTCAGAGCCATGTTATTGGGGTGCTTTGCCTTAATGCTCCTTTGCAGTGTGGGTTTTTGGTCCTCAGACCAAAGAGTGTTTCATCAGCACTAAGTGGAAGTGGTTAAAATTTGCAGGCAATTATGGGCAGGTATATGAATCCTTGGTAAACAGAAGTTATACTTCTCTTTACAAAGTTTTGCTTTTGCAGTTCGAATGCGTGTAATGTGACCAAGACACGTATGTCTGTGCATACGCTTGGCAACTGGGATCAGTCAATTATTCATGATTTATGCAGGACCCTGGTACCTGATATTAAAGATGTTGGTGCAGGAGTAGCTGAGTAACAGTGTCAGATTTCTGGGACAGCCGGTACTCCACGCAGCTCGCTGTGTCAGACCATTCTGCACTCAGTGGTTCGCTTGCAAGACAGAAACTTTTTGATCGAGTTTTTTATTGCATAAACTGTTTATTTCTCTCCCCTGAGTAAGGAGGAGAGGTTAAACTTGGAAACCACTGGGGAGGAAAGCAGTGTTTTTTTGGGGAACGGATTTTGGAACTCGCAGGTTGATTACAGTCCAGAAGTTTTCCCACCCTGCAGTGCGTTCCAAGGGCAGGGAGCACTGCTCTAAATAACACTTTGGCCTTTATGGAAATGTATCAGATGTTCCAGGAGCCTCTGTCTCTGCTTCTCCTACCTCACTTGCTCTCTCTGCAGGATATAGTTAGCACTTCTCTTAGCCTTATATAGCAAGGCCTGATAGTTAGTGTTAACAGGAATAAAACAACAAGGAGAGCTGCCAGATTGCATAAATCAGGCCAGTGTTTGGAATTTCATAAATGCCATGACTTTGGGTACAAGTTGAGCATGCGGAACAATACTGAACTGTTCTCTCTTTATCTCTCCCTCCCTTGCTGAGGGAGGGCAGGGGGAGAGCTGGAATTTTGCTGCTTCTTCCATGTTTTTAATCCCCCCCTCCCTGTTTTCATCCCCTTGAAGACCACAGGAGGAGCAGTGGCAGGCGCAGCCAGGACTCTGCCGACGGCCCGGACAACCAGGGTCCCG